ATCATCCTCAGTTGCATCAGATCTGTGATCGTATGTACCCTCAAAATCATTGTTATAGGAGGCACGTAATCGCGTGAAATTGTACGTCCTATGTGACCAACGAGTCTGGGATGATCGTGGGACTGGTCATGTGGCTTGTGTTCAGATTCCTGATCAACAAGGCTTTGTTATAATTGTCAGACTAGAATCTGCGACAAGCGGAGCAGGTGACCTCATTACAGGTTTTTCTACTGATTTTTTTTAACATAAGCAATCATAAATCATTTCCGGCTCTGAACTTATATTTTTTTGTAGATAAAAATGTGCTGGAGTCGAAAATTCTCATGGATACCGTCTATCAAAAGCAACAAGTGAGTATCAGATTCTTGAGGAGATCTTATTTCGCTCTTTGTGCCGGTCTGCCATCATTCCTGCTGAATTCTCTCTATATTTGCCACATATTCGTTAGATCCCATTTCGATAGTAATCTTTATAGTTGCTAACAGTCGTGGCCCTAGATCATTTTTTTCATAGTATTTTCTCAGAGCGCCGTGTTTTTAGCGCTGTATTGGAGGTGTTTGGGTATAGGTGTATTTTTCGCACCTTATATGCCCCAAAGTGATTGAAACTTCAGTTTCATCTTTAAGGCCGGCCGCTGCAGAATTGACGAAATGAAAGGGTAAGATAGTATCGATCCGTTTTTGAAATTCGTCAATTCTGCTACCCTTCAGATCGATGCGTATCTAATCCTTGTTGCCAATTCTGCACCTCTTCATTTCGTCACTTCTTTGAGTCGCCGGTTCTTCATTGTGGCATGGTAATTGTATGAACGCGACCTGATGTAGTTGACTTTTCAGTCGGCTCCATTCCCAACCCACCAAAGCAAAAAGCATTTAGGGATAGATGAGTGGTCTAACGCGCCAGTTTTACAGTTCACAGGCACTAGTTCCTTGTTCACTTGTGGAATAGTAAATACAAGGGAAATTTGTTGATAAGATTTTGGTACTCATCTATACATGCACAACTTAGGTTGATCTTTTCTCCACGAAAGTTATATATTGAGTAGCCGATGTTGAAAACCCGAAGCATTTAGACATTTGGACACAATTGAAATTGTCATTGGCTCAGATAACTGACCAACCTGGCCTAGTCCGCAGTTGTTAGGTCTTGTAGGAAGGGTAGCAGAAAAAACCTGGATCAGGCTAACAATCGCGCTTTTCCGAGTTTGGTTGGGTTTTCTTCAAATTGTTCATCGAACTTTGGTTTTTTACACATAAGCTGTTCCAGAGAAAGCGATTCTTCGTTGGTTTTTTGAATTAAAGACGAACAGTATTGAAGCTTTCTGAAAAGGCAATATTCTTTTCTTGCGAGTTTCTCGTTTTGGTACTGTTGTGGCGTAATAATGAATGAGCTGATCGTCCAGCTACAGGCCAAAATTTTTCTGTACCGAACCTTCTTCTTCTCCTACCGCGTCAATTCGTTACTGTGTCCATATATGGTGCAAATGTGAATTTACCTTGTTTTCTTGGACATCTTTCTGAAAGCCACACATTCATTTCGAACGTCGCGAATGCTCCCTGCAGAATAAAAATGCGTCTATTCTTTGGCTTTCAGAAAGATGTCCAAGAAAA